TTTGGCTTATAAGAAGAAAGGAAAACTACATACGTGAAACCTATACATCCAAGACATTGTTCCCTGAATCAATCAAGAATATCGCCTTTAAAGCTACATATACATATATATAGGCCAACCAATCTGAAATAATGGAAGTATGAAAAATAGGATAATAAGGTGTCATCTGTACTATGCAACCCATGAAATCACACAAGATCACCTGAATGACATACACGTTTCACCTTCGTCAATGATAGCATCAGGATAACATTTTTTTGGTGTCGTTAAGACTTGTAAAATGTAATATCACTTAATTAAAATATTAAAATCAAGACAGAAAGTTTTGCAGCTAATCATGTAAACTTTAAGAGATTACCTCCCATTCCTCAAGCTAGTATCAATTCCCAGAAGATTAGAATATGTAAGCCTCTTGACCAGTAGAACAGAAGAAGGCTTTCTGCACATTTGAATTCGCTGAAATATAGAATCATACTCGTATAAGAATAGCATGAAATTGTTAACAAAACTGTGCCAACAATAAGCAGTGATTACACATTATATATTTTATATTGGAAAGTCAGCCAAATGCAGTAATGTATCATCTCACCTCCTTCCACCACATAATGTGAGCATAATCTTTCTCCTCCAGGACATTTTTCAATTGTTTCTGTTTCTTAGTAGTTCTGATATAATATTTTCTTTCCTTGACACGCAAAATGCGCTCGGACTGCCTAATACTGTTGGAAAGGAACAGCAAATGCTAGAGGTTAGACATTAATTCATTAAGATATTTCTAGGAAGGAAATAATTGAAAGCAAAGAACTGCCAAATATCCCATTGAAAGGTGATAAGAACAAAAGGAGGACTTAGCATATACCAAAACCGCATTTAATATAACAAAAAGAATAATTTTTCCTATAGCATAGGACATACCTTGGGTGAACTGTAAAACACACTTCTTCCTATGGGACAAATTTATTATTAACTTCTCATCTTCATGTACTATTTTTCAGTTACATGGCACGAAGCTAGATGATACATAAGATGGGGAACATAGCTTCTAAAATTTATGGTTACGACTCCATCCTTCTCCATGAAAGACACAGAATGAGAAGTACAAGAAATATGTCAAGAGCATCACAGATCACAAAGTTTACATAAACTGGAAAATGTCTCAGGCCCCAAGTAGGTGAGAGTTTCAAACTTTTCTTTTAAATACATGTCCCCATTCATTAATCCGGGCTTTTTTTTTTCACATAAAGAAGGTAGCGTACATTCTCTTTTAAATAGTCAACCATGGATAAATTTGTAAATAAATTACTCCATATTCCATGAGGCCACCAATTTCCACCGAC